TAAAGTGCCCAGGCTGGAAAGTGGGGGTCTCAGGGGAGAAGGCGTCCCTGGAAGTCCTCTGGTCGGGGCTCTGGATGGGGCTTGGCTGGAGGGGCAGCCGGGTCTGAAGGCCCCGCCGACCCACAGGGCCCAACGAGACAGCACCCTTCAAGCCCGAGGGCGACCTGCGTGAACTCGGCACCAGGCTGCTCCTCCATTACTCACCTCAGGTACTGGGGGGAGGGGCGTGGGCTCACCCCGTTACCGCCCCCCGCAGGCCTGTAAGAACAACATCTGCCTGGACCTGTCCCCTGGGCACGGGCTGGACGGCCGCCTGACGGGCCACAGGGTGGAGACCTGGGACGTGAAGGTGCGTGTACACACGTGGGCGGTGCGTGCAGAAAGCGTGAGCGTGGGCACGTGTGCGTACAGGGTGGGCTGGGGAGAGGCACGATGCCCTGGGAGGCCTTTAGGAGACCTGGGTTCAAGAGCAAAACTTCCCTGGCCCAAGCACCCAGACCAGGCATGATGGGGTGGCCTGGCCAGGGAAGGGCTGGGAGCTGCCTCTCACAGCCGCCCCACCCCGCCCCCCAGGATGTGGTGACCTGTGTGGGGGGCATGGGTGCCCTGCTGCCCCTCCTGGAGCGAGTGGCTGCCCAGCCCCAAGAGGCCGAGGCAGGTCCGGCCGAGACGCATGACCTGGTGGGGCCCGAGCTGACCTCTAGCCACAACACCCAGGGCCTGACCCTTCCTCTAGGCATGTCCCCAGGTAAGTGTCCCGGGTGCCCGGGCCGAGGGAGGGAATGTTGGCACCGTGGGGGCTGGAGGGCCTGAGTCTCTGTGGCCACGGCAGGCCCTTGACACACATCTGTCCCCTTCTGGTGGCCACAGAGGAGCGGATAGAGAGGAACGCAGTGGCGGCCTTCCTGCTGATGCTGCGGAACTTCCTGCAGGGCCACCCCGTGAACCAGGAGAGCCTGGTGCAGTGCCAGGGCCCTGCCATCCTGGGGGCGCTCCTGCGCAAGGTGGGCCTGGGGGCCGGCGAGGGGCTGCCCTGTCTGGGTGGGGGCCAGGCAGAGCCTCCTGGGAGAGGTGGCGTTTGAGAGGGGCCTTAAAAGGCTGGGCAGGCCCGGCCGGCAAGCTCAGTGACTGAGCGTCGACCTAGGAACCAGGAGGTCACGGTTCGATTCCCGGTCAGGGCACAGGCCCGGGTTGCAGGCTTGATCCCAGTGTGGGGCGTGCAGGAGACAGCCGATCCATGATTCTCTCTCATCATTGATGTTTCTCTCCCTCTCTGAAATCAATAAAAATATATTAAAA